GGGGGGGGGGGGGGGGAGGGGCGATCAATCCATGCACTGTGTCAGCGATTCGCTTATCAGTCGATTGCTGCATGCGACGGATGGATGGGAGCACATTGGGCGGGTCGGGTGGGCTGAGACACCAAGGGACAATGCATGAGACACCATGGGGATACACGGGACATAAGAGACAGCAAATAATATGAATGCCTTCACATGATGCCTTTGGGTCTCCTCACCCATGCTACGCATGAAGCACGATGAAATGCTCTCACACACTCCATGTGTGCACTGACGTGTCCAACAGCCATTGTCTCCAATCGAGTTAGGACACTGACTTGGTTGCTGACAGTCGCATAGCATACGGGAAAGGAAACACGGTACAAAGACTGAATTCCCATCTACACTGGCTCCGGCCATGTATGCCTCTCTCCATCTGCATGCAAGATCCACACAGATGGACGCCTCCCTCTCGCAAAGACACGGACCAACATACGGGGAGAACAAAGGACGCAGAGACAGCAATGGCGTGCAGTTCAAGGCTTCTCGCCCTCCCCACGCTCCCGATCGATGAGAAGTGGCACACATCCGGAAAAACTGCCGGCTGGATGATGAACTCATCAATCAAGAGGCACTCGCACGCACACACACACACATACACGCACGTCATGAGTAGGTAAGCAGCAATAAGGGATGAGTGAGAATACGGCAGCCAGGCAGGCAGGCAGCCAGGCAGGCAGGCAGCCAGGCAGCCAGGTTCCCACGTGATCGATTTATCAAAGACGGTCGACGCGCAGCTTCCGTCGGTCCGCCCCACCAGAGAGACACATCCTACAGGGCGCCGGGATGCATTCGTCAATGTCCGAGAAGACAGATATGAACTGCATGATATGAATACAACCACACGGAGGCGTTTGTTTCATAAAGTTTTTTGTAATGCTTGTCGTGTCTTTCGCACTGCTGCACACGCACTCACCACGTCAGCGGGCTGACCGCGGCACGGTGATATAGTCTTCAAAGTCGCGAGAGTCGTCAGTCGGGTTGGTGGAGTCCCTGTAGAAGGCCCTGCACACAAGTGATTAAGGAGAGGGATTGAAGACGTAGGTACACAATCTCGCCAATCCTCGTTTTCTTCTCTTCGACAGACCCATCGACTTCGACAAATGCATCGGCATCTGTGGAGCTAACGAAACCTTCGTTAGCTGCTCTTGGGCATGCGCTTCTGTTGCATGCATGCCTCCTGCGTGTGTGTGCTTCCTTGTGTGTAATCAATTCGATCATCGCTGCCAGTGGCCCCAAAAGACAGTCACGTCAACCAACCAACCAAGCGATCAACCGATCAACCCGTCCACGACCCAGGCACACTCATGCACTGTTCACTCAGTCATTCAAGCTACAAACATGTCCCTCTCTGTGCCACATGCGTCACAGCACAAAAACCGGCCAGGATTGACCAGAGTGCACATGCCACACACCCACTCCCCGCCACCCCCTCGCCCATCCGCAGCGGCGCCGCTGTCCTTGAAGCGCTTGCCGGCCGGTGCTGCGTCGAGGATGAGGAGCTCGTCATCTGCCTCCTCGCCCACACGAGCACCAGTAGCTGCTGCTGCTGCTGCTGCACTCGATGCTTGGTCGCCCTCGCGTCTGTTTCGCTTGCGTGCTGCTGCTGGTGGTAGTGCCCTTGGGGGGTTGTCTGCCAGGCGCTTCTCGGCCGCACGGGCAGCCGCTTGACGCGCCGTCAGACCTGAGACATCAACCAAGAAGGCAACAAGAGGCATGAGAGAGGCATGGGGTGGGTGGGTGGGTCGCTCACCTCGCATGGCTGCGCTCTCGCCGCCCAGCCGATGACCCCCACTGCAGAGAGGGAACGAACAGCAATGGGTGGGCGGACGGATGAGCTCTGGGTGGGCGGACGGATGAGCTCAGCGGTCTGTCTTACCCCTGCTTGAGCGGCGGCAAAATACCCCCCAAGTGCATCGCACCCACACCGGCAGCAGCAGGCGAGGTTGACGGACAGACCAGAAGACCGTAGACGAGGTTGCGGCCAGGCTTGTTGGACTTCCACTCAGTCCACATCGGATGCATCGGTGCCGTGCTCTGTGCAATCAAGCAACACACATACATAGCATTGGCCCTCACACGTACATGTGTGAAGTGTGTATGTGTGGTGCAAAATGCGGCCTACAGGTGACGCTGCAGAATGAAAAGAGGATACATGTATCGCATGGGTTTTGTCGCCTGTCACTTTGCTCCGTGGCACGCACCTCTGCTAGAGACGGTTTGGTCCATGCCGTCATTGACAACGAACGCACCGGGGTCGACCAACAGCTGGAAAACTGCCAAAAAATCTTGCCCGCTAACCTGAACACACATATCGCAGCCACGCCACGCCCATCCACCCGCCCACAGGCAGTTGCCGTGCCCGTCCGTCAACTCACTGACCCAGAAGTGCTCGGCGTATCCCACTGCAGTGTGGGTGTGCGGCGAGCAGAAACAGTACACCTCCCCAGGATATGTGCGGCAGAAGTCTCGCCAGCTCATGCCTCTCCCCGTCCCGGCCCATGCACCCGACTTTTCGGCCAGCGATGTGGGCACGCGCAGAGCTCTGCTCTCGACGATGGGCTCCACGTTCTTGCGCTTGGTGCCGTGGTAGGCTGGCACCCACCCCTCGTTGAACCTCCTGGCCTCCTCCGGCGTCAGCTTGATGCCCAGCCAATACCAGCCGACAGGGGGCATGTAGGGCACCGGCGGCTCACCCCTGACCATGCATAAACAGAGAGGGAAGAAGGGCAGATAGCGCGTGGTGCAAAGGTGGTGTTTGGAAGTCTGTTCTTTGTATGTTGACCTGGTGTAGGACTGGTTCGCAGGCTGGTCGTAGCACTTCGGACAGAAACACTTGTCATGGCTGATGGATGGACGGAAACACGCATTGCAATTGCAACATCCAACCCATCAGGAGCATCACGCTACCACCTTTCGCTGACCTGGAGTCGAGTAGATGCGGCGAAATGCCGAGAATACGAACCACCTGCCGAACACAGACATTGCCACACACAGAGGATTGAGTGTTGCGCTGTTCTTACCTCTTCGCTATCGCTCTTCATCTGGCACGGACCGTCCATCATGCAGCCGCAGGAGCAGGTCCGTTAGATTCGATGAATGGATGGATGGATGAATGAATGGAAGGATCTGTCTTTCCCCCTCCACACTCAGCGGCACGCTGGACCATTTCAATTTCAGAGCTGGTTCAGACATGTGCAGTACGAAATTGTGGGAGCGGGCCGTTAGACGAGGGTTCGTTCTGAGGAGAAGCAGACGCAGGAGACGGAGGCCACAGCGGCCTCCCTGCTTGACCGATGGCTGCGTCGTCACACCTTTCTGGTCAGTTCGCCCCTCTCCTGCTCTTCCTCCTCTCCTCTGTCGCCTCGGCACAGCACCTCAGGCGGGCAGCCGCGCCACCCTCTCAACCTGACGCACAGGCGCGAGGCGCTGCTGTGGTGCCCTTTCCTGGCTTCGAGGACCACATCACTCGCGTCTTCCCCTCCCTCACCCCCGCACCGATTGCGACGGGCCTGGGACTGGCCGAGAGCCCTCTGTGGCTGCCCAAGGAGAAGGCCCTGCTCTTTTCCGATTTGCTGCGCAACGAAGTCTATCGCTGGGCGCCGAATGAAGGCGTCACCAAGTTTCTGCTCAACGGTGGCGGGATGACTGGTGACGGACAGGCGGACGATGAAGACAAGAAAGCTCCTGTCGTGGCCGGGCCGAACGGTATTGTGCTGGACAGCGACGATAGTGGCGCCTTGTTGGTGTGCCAGCACGGCAGCCGCAAGGTGGTGCGCATCGATCCCACCATGATATCCTCTCTCGGCCTGCAAGAGGAGGGCCTGCGTGTGGTGGCCGCCGGCTACGACGGGAGGCCTTTCAACAGCCCCAACGACCTGGCCCTCTCAGAACGGGGCGACCTCTACTTCACCGATCCCCCCTACGGCCTCATTCAGCGCGGCCACCTTGTGGACGACACCACCCTCCTGATGCCCAACTCCTCTGCCCTAGGATTCTCCGGCATCTATCGGGTGTCGAAAGAGGAGCTGGAGAGAGCCAGGGGAGAGGGCCATGACACGGAGGGTGCGGCTGTGGAGCTGCTGGATGCATCGCTGTCGCGACCGAATGGCATTGCCGTGACGCGGGACCAGCGGAGGCTGCTCGTGAGCGACAGCTCGTCTGAGGCGACAGAGGGCGGGAAGGGGAAAGCCGATGGCATGCCCACGCCCGCATGGTACCTCTTCGACATCGCAGACGACTTCACCCTCGCAAACCGCCGGCTGCTGCTCGACCCACACAGACTCAGCACCATCTTGCCTCCCAAGTATGGAAGACCACCACACACGCACACACGCACACACGCACACACGCACACACGCACATCCATATTCCTGTTACATCAGCTCTCACGGCACGATCGACGGCCTCGCCATCGCCCCGAACGGCCTGGCGTTCGCCACTGGCCCTGGAGGCGTCTACGTTATTCACATCGACGAGTCGCCAGAGGGCCGGGCATCCGTGTGGGGCCGCCTGCACATGGGCGACAGCTTCCGCCCGACCAACGTGGAAGTGGGCGCCGACGGCCACCTGTACGTCAGCGGCATCGGGGAGCTCTGGCGCATCCCGCTGCACAAGGAAGTGCTGAGCAAGGGGGCCGATGGGGACATATGGACGGACCTTGACAAGGAAAAGGGCCAGCCTGCGAGTGGTGACGGTGATGACTATGTCGTCGCTCCCGCCATGTCTGCAGGTGAGTAGGAGAGCCAGGCGACGAAATGGGCATACACGTGATCGTCTTTGGTGCGGGTTTGTGTGTTCGTGTGTTCAGGTCCAAAGGAAGAAGTGGACCTCACCCGACGAAAGGCCCAGGGCGACAACAACCCCCCCAACAACAAGGCAGTCATACCACCCAACACCGAGCAGCAGCAGCAGGAGCAGCAGGAGGAGCAGCAGGAGTCACTAGATACCGGGGGGGAGCCCTGGTCTTTGCTGACGGATGCGGGCGTGACGGACGAGAGCATCGCCGTCAACGAGGAGAGCGAGCAGCTGGCGGCGGGGGCGCACGCCCTGGCGGGGGGTGGGGTGTACCATGCGGATGATGTGGCGGTGAAGCCCTTTGGCGAGGCGGACGACGCCATGCGCCGGGGGGAGCAGATGGTGGAGCTGCTGGGGCTGGAGGTCGGCATACCTGACAAAGACATGGTGCGTAGGTGTGGATGGGTGCATCGTCAAAGGGCCGCTCGGGGGAGCATTCTTTTCTGTGCTTGGGTGTGTGCGTGTTTGCGCCTTCAGAAGCATCCACACCTGCTTGACACAGCGACAGGTCTGAAGCAGGCCATCGGCGAGTCGCTGGGGGTGCCCGCCAACCACATCAAGATCCACCACGTCACCTCACACCCCGTCGTCGTCGCGTTTGAGTAACCACACCCCACCCACCCACAAGCCAGACAATACATGCATCGAATCCAACCACTGTGTGGTGTCTCCCGTCCTCCACACACCCCACCCATGTGTGCAGTGTGATATCTGGCGGCCGCTACACGAGCAAGCAGCAGCTGGTGGCTGCCTGGTCCCAGGCCCTCGCCGATCCCGACTCAGCCGTCAATCGTGCCTATGCCGTCGACAGCTCGGCATCGCCCGTGGTGCGGGTGCCCAAGACCAGCATCACTAACTCGTTTGAAAAGCTTCTCCACCAAGAGGAGCAGAAGCGACAGCAGGAGGGCCAAGAGTCGCAGACACCGGACGAAGGGGATGGGCAAAGGCAGCCAGACACAGAGACAGCGACGGCAGAAGACGCCACCACCCCACCGCCAGCAGAGGAAGACGACAACGTGGCGCAGAAAGAGCAGCCTGGACAAGGGCACAAAGCCAGGGAGGACAAGACGAGCACCGAGAGCAGCACCAAGGCGGCAAGGGCCAAGGAGGCCCCCGTGGCCAACAGAGACTCCCCGCCAGAGCGGATCGGCGGTCTGTCTGGGTGGATGTTTGCCGTGATCGCCGTCTGCTCCTGCCTGCTGCTGGCCGGCTGTGTGGTGTCTGCTCGCCTGCTGCTGTGTCGCGTCAAGGGCATCGGCGGGGAGGCCTTCAACACGCCCCAACGGCAGCGGACGGCGGACGGCAATCTCAACGTGTTGCTGCACAGCACCCGGAGCAGGCAAGCACTGAGGGGGCTGGATGGCGCGCCAGCGTCACCCGACACATCCCGCACAGAGGAGCCGAGAAGACTCCAGACCAGGGAAAGGCCCGAAGGAAGCCAGCACAGCCACAACCGCCGGCAGCCACAGCAGCCACAGCAAGAGACCTTTGTTGCCGAGCAGCAGAGCCAAAGTGACGGCGACCCGCACGAGCCCCACCGCCTGCCGCCCCAGCCGCCCAAACGACGTGACAACACGCTAGCCACCAGCCCCCCCGAACACAACCACAGCCACAGCCACAACCAGCACCAGCAACACGTGGATGTTAGTACCAGTGTGCCCCACTCCAACTCCCCCTGTGTGCCGAAGCGCCCCTGGCAGTGGAAGTGGCCCCGGGCGTTCGAGTCAACACCCGCCCCCAAGCAGCGACAGGCCCATTGCAAGACCGCCGCGAAAATGACTAGCCCGGGCGATTTGGTGCCGTTGAGCAAAGGGGACGAGAGCAGCACCTCCATGTATCACGGGTCAGTTCCGAGTCCGAGCGAAGACAAGGCGGCCGCATCGGGGGCCTCGGCAGAGGCGGAAGCGTCAGGGGCGTCTGCGGCTGCCACGCCATCCTGTGCGAGCCGCCACACGATGGGCGACGTCGACGAGAGCAGCGACTGCCACCGCCACACAGACCAACGGAGCAACACGCAGGACAGCAACGACTCCAACGGCACCACCACCACACGGAGCGTCATGAGCATCCCGCTCGAGTACCCAAGAGAGCTGAGGCAGAAGACACGTGAGAAGCCGCAGCCCACACCAAGGGAGCTGAGGGAGGCTCAGCAGCAGACGGCCGGAGACGAGCTGAGTCAGCAGATGAGGGAAGCCACCCCGAGAAGCAAGAAGCGGGCCGTTGCAAGCGCCACAGCCACAGCCACAGCCACAGCCACCAGCAGCGACATGACGACGCCTGAGCAGACGGCGACTGAGAGCATGGCTTCTGTGGTGTCTGTGGGCGGGTCGAGTTGTGAGGGGCTTGGGGTGCACATGCAGGCGCAGAGCATCACGCTGTCGGGGAGGGGAGGAATGGACGACGGTGTCCAGGACTGCTACACGGAGGGCGAGTGAACGAACGAACTGTGAGGAAGGACCAAGTGGGTTGGGTGCGTACTGGGGGCGAGGCGGCGGGCTGCAATGTGGTACGGCCGTGTGTGTGTGTGTGTCTACAGTTGACTGATCCCGTCTGCGTTATACCTATATAAGTGCGCATATACCGTTACACCATGAGTGAGTGGATGGATGGATGGATGGATGAGTGAATGAGTGAGAAAGGGGATCAGTCCAGTCGGTCGGTCGGTCGGTCGGTGGGGGGGTCGCTGCAGCGAAGGGGGAGGAGGGAGGAGGGGAGAAGTATTTTGTTCAGCGGTCACACCAACCATAGCCACATCACATACACCATGTACACGACCCTGTCTGCCTGTCTGTTTGTATGCTTCTACATGCCGGGGAGCGAGCGAGCGAGCGGGCCAGTGTGTGCAAGTGTGTCTATACCAGTGGCTGGGCCGGTGTGCCTGTGGGATGGGCGTGTCAATGAGCTAGTCAAGACATTCTCTTTGGGTCCACAAACCGGACGGCTGTGTGTACATGTGTGTATGTGTGTGAAGGTGTTTTCTGTACAAATTGCGTGTGTCCGCAACTGTCTAGTGTATACGGCCTGGCTGCCTGGTTTTGACGGTCAACAGATATGAGGATATATATGTGATGGGACGTGACGTACGACGTGCACCTGCGTCGGAACCCATCATGCTGATGCCTATTTCTCTTTCTCGTTCTTTGCCTCTCCCCCTCTCTGTCTGTCTGTCTGTCTGTCTCTCTGTCTGTCTGTCTGTTGTTTGGCCGTCTGTCTGTCTGTCTGTCTGTACAGACCGACCGCCTGCATAAATATGTCGCACATTTGATCGACTGTCTGTCTGCCTCGCCTATTCGCCCGCTTGTGTGCTCCTTGTCCGTCTGTGTGTCAATCTTATGCCTCCCAGTCTCTCTCTCTCTCTCTCTCTCTGCCTGCCTGCCTGCCTGCCTGCCTGCCAATCTCCTCTCTCCTCTACCGCTCCCATTATTCCTTCGATCCCTTCTCTCGGTTGTTGTTCATGTCACGTCTGTCTATCTGTCTCCATGATGTTGTGTGTATTCCGGGCAATGATCCTCGGTAATTCTCCAGTGTGTGTGCGGTGCGTCACGTGATGTGATGTGCGCGGCCCCCGCATATATCTGACTGACGGAGGCGCACGTGCAAGAAACACACACACACGCACGCACACAAATTCCTGCCTGCATACGTCCACACGTAGCTTGCTTAACCTACTTGGCTCTCCAAAATGAATGAATGAGCTTTCTTTTTTCTCTTTTTTCGTCGGCCTCTCTCGGCTCCGCTCCCTCCCTCCCTCCCTCCCTCCCTTGCTCCCCTCATGTGTGCAGTGACCCCTCCATCCCTCCATCCATCCATGCATCCATCCATGCATCCACCCACTGGTGTAGTCTATGCACACAAAGCCATCACTGGACGAGTACTTACTGACACGAGGGGAAGTTGCAGGTGGTCGGTTGATTGGTTGGCTGATTGGTTGGCTGCTGGTGACTGATTTGTTTCCTTTTGCCTGCCTCGTGTTGGTTTGGTTTGGTCTGGTTGGTCTGCCTGTCTGCCTGGTTGGTTGCCTTGCGTGTTCATGTTGCGTACATTACGGAGGGAGGGGGTGAGGGCTGATAAGCTGTTGTCAATGGGTGCAGCAAACCAGCCATCTATGCATCCATCCATCGATTCACCGACACAGGTGGCCTGTCTCCTGTCTGTCTGTCTTTCTGTCTTTCTGTCTGTCTGCTTGATGCGTGTGAGGTGTGCAAGCGCTGGTGCCTGTGGCCGTGCCTGTCGGTTATGGCACCATGTCGGTCGGCCACTTCCTGCCTGCCTGCCTGCCTGTTGCTGAGTGCCATCCATCCATCCCATCATCTGCACACACTCCTCACCGATGGGGCGCATTACATTGGGCGCAGTGTACAATGACACACACGTGCCCGACGGGTTTAGTTGTATGCACCACGACGCGCAGAGAGACAGAGAGGGAAAGATGCTCACACACAGAGACGTGTGTATGCGTGTGTTGATGGGTGGAGACTACCAGACAGATAGACAGACCGACAGACAGACCGGCGAGAGAGAGAATGTGGTTGATGACCATGTTGGTTGGCAGGGTCCCGCACGCAACACCCGCACACGCACACTCATACACACACACACACACACACACACATGCTCACGCACACACATCCACACGCCCGTGTGGCCCATGCACACACACACACAGATTGACATCCACGGGCCATCGACCAATAAATCCCGCAGGCAGGACACGCAACACGCAACCCTCCACACCCACTCACCCACCCACCCAGCAGACAAAGAAACGAATTATTGAGAAGCAACGGCCTCTCCCCTCCATCTTCACCGATACTCAGTCAGTCACCAGTAGTCAGTAACCACATCCTCAACCACCTCCTCCTCCTCGCCACCCTCCCCCTCTGCAACATCGGCAGCAGCATTGAGCTCGGGGGCGCTGAACGACCTGGGCATCTGCACGGGATGCAGCTCATACAGAGGGTCGTTGTCCACCCCATCGCCGCCGTGCACACCGCCTGTGGGGCTCTCGTCGCTCACCGACCGGTAGGGCCGCAAGCCGTGGCCATGGCCATGGCCGTGGCCGTTCGCCACCAGTACCGGGATGATGTTGATGTCCTGGTGGTGCTGGTGATGCTGGTGATGGTCTGTGGCGAACGACAAGGTGCCGTCGGTCCTCATCTCTCGCGCCATCTGACGAAGCTCGGCGTCGTCATCGAGGAGAGCGGGGGACGGCAGGGGCGGGGGCGTTGCCGCTGCTGCTGCTGCAGGTGGCGGCGCTGCCTGTGGGGGCGTTGTGGTGGGTGTGGCCTGGTGGTCGGCCTGTTGGGAGTCACTGTTGGTGCTGTTGGTGTTGCTGTAGTAGCTGGCAGGCCGCGGGTGGTGACACGACGGACGCGATGCTGGCGAACGGGGAGGCACCAACCTGTGCGAGGTGTGTTGCAAGCAGGGACAAAGGAAGGACACACAGAGTGTTTGATTGCGGTGGGGCGGTGTGGGATGCCCCCGTACTTGACGAGTGGCGGTTTGCTGTAGTGTCGCGTGCCCAGTGGCGTGGGGTCGCCATCCAGCAGTGTCTGCTCAATCGCCGTGGGGATGATCCCGCGGTCGCGCAACTCATCTACACACACACACACACACGACACACAAGGAGGGAGGGGATCGGTGAGCCGATCACACAGGTGCGTGCTGTCTGTGTGTGGCTCACGTGTGGCTCTGTGGAAGTAGCTCTCGTCTGGGTAGCCATGGGGGGCAGCTGATCGGTCGATCAAACACACACACGACGATAAATGCGATTCACATGGTACGTCAGTGTCTCTCTTGTGTGTCGGTTAGGTTAACACATGCCCACCCTACCGTAGTCGAGGCTGGTCTTGTGGTGCACGCCGCCCCACACGAGTGTGTTCTCCTCCCCGGTAGTCAGGCTCGTGCTCACAGTAAACATGCGACCCTACACACACATACAAGCACACACACATCACACATGCGCCCTCCGCCTCTCCAAAGCTTTGTGTCTGGTGCGGTGTGTCTGACGTACGGCAAGGAAGCACCTCACAAACATCTGCAGGAGTGCGGCCCCCTGTGGGCAGTAGGGGAAAAAGCCCACGCGCTGGTCGCCGCGGAACGGCGCTCCTGGGTGGCGGTGCACACCCAACTGCTCGCCGTCAGGAAAGTCGTAATTCTACACACACACACACACACGCACACACACGAGAAACACACTGTGGACGAATGGAGTGAGGGATGCTCACGAGTAGGATGGTGGGGTGGCGCTCGTATCCCGGCACGGGCAGATAGCCGGGGGGGAAAACCCACCACTCACACCAACCTGACACAGCACACAGAGAGACACAGATGCATCCATGTGTTGCCGCTTCCCCCCTTCTCGCCCGCCCGCCCAGTTACCTGACGGCTGCGGTCCTCTGCAGTTGGCGATGGGTTTCTTGCATTGCGGGCATCCCTTGCCGAAGCTCATGGGGTCCTTCTTGCGCAGCCACCCCACCAGACACCCCTCGCAGTACTCGAACCGACACGACGGGCACACCACCCGCACGCCATCCATCCGCTCGCTGCAGATGCGGCACTCGTGGTCATGATGATGGTCATCATGCCCCCCTCCACCTTCCCCTCCCCCTGCCCCTCCCTCCCCCTCTGTCTTGTCTCTCTTCTCGGTGCGGGCGTCCAGCCGCAGCAGAGTGCCGGGCAGCAGGTCGTTGACGTCAACGGTCTCCTCTCTGGCCTGGTACGAGTGGGCCCCATACGCCAGGCAGTAGACGATCGGGTGGTGCCACGCGTAGTGGCCCGGTACACCCAGGGCGGGCGGCGACGCCAGCCGCTGCCAATCGGGCTCGTGCGGCATGTACCGCCAGTCGGTGAAGCCCGTCGACTCGGGGAAGGGCGGGAGGGAGAGGGCGAATGCGACCAGGGGGTCGGCGTCGGTGCTGCTGGCGCCGCTGCCGCACGACGGGCGGCCCAGCTGCAGGAACCGCTTTGGCACCCAGAGTGCCGGGTTGAGTATGCGGATGGGGAGGGGGAGTGGGGTTCTGAGGCGGCGCTCGATGGTGCCGTGGATGGAGGGGGAGAGCTTGTCCGTCCAGGTGTGCGTCTGCATGCTGATGTGCAGCTTGCGGGGCGGGTAGCTGTCGTTGGCGAACATCGTCATCATGTCAAACGAATCACGACCCGGACCTGACACACCCATACACACACAGAGTCATATACACATATGCCCATTTCGATCTCTCCCTCCCCTCTCCGCATACCCATCCTCCTGTAGGCCTCGACGACCCCCGCTCTCTGCGGCGATACGATCTTCTCCCCCGCGCCGCCCTTAAGGACCCAGCTGCCTCCCAGGCGGACCTCCCTGACCTTCTTGACGGCCCCGGTGTCCCGCCGGCGCTGCACCATGCGCTCGAGGTCGATCTCGTAGAAGACCCCGTTGATCTCCACCGGCACCAGGTGGAGGTCGAACAGCCGGTGGTCGGCTATCTGGGCGATGATGTGGGGGTCGTAGCATATCCACACACCGGCCTGAAGCTCCCACTCCCAGATGAAGAACTCGGGAGCTCCCTTCGTCACTGAACCAACCAACCAACCAACGAGCACGGACGACAGATATGGAAAGCGACACAAACGCATCCAGAGGGTGCGGCGTGCTGCGGACGCCAGTGTGTGCCCTTCTCACTCACCGAGCGATATTCCCTGGAGAACAGACGCCATCTCGTCCGATTCAACCTTTCCGGTGCGATGTGGATGCTGACTACTCCACACAGCCGCCTCAGCTCAGCTCACAAGCATGGAAGCCACGGCTCCGCCTCGAAGCATTTGCGAGCTGTGATGCGATCCGGAGAGAGGAGAACAGTTCGCTCGTCACGTCTTGGGTCCGCTAGGGGAGGGGAGGTACTACTGTGCTGTTCTGGACCCTGATCTGATGACAATGACCCGTCCTTCTTTTTCTGGCGCCTCACTGCTCTCCGTTCTTCTTCTGTCGACCCTCTCGGCCAGATCCAGCGCCACCGATGGGGCTCGAAGTCTTGGTTTTGCCCTTGGACGCTCCCCGGAGCGACCAGCTGCGTCCTCCCGCGACCCTTCCTTTCCCTATCGTGATGGTGGCGATGGTGACGACACGTTGGATGACGATCCCTACTATCGATCCCTCTCTGAAGCTCGGGAAGGACCGGACCCTTTCTACGTGCCGCCACACCGGCGTCTGCAGGTGCCCGATGACAGCTGGCCCACATCTCGACCCCCAGATGCTGGTGGAGGGGCCAATAAGACGTACAATTACACGGACTGGTTCGACGGCACCCCCTCTGGCTCGCCGAGGCCAATGCAGTCTATCATCCGATCCAAGATCCAGCTGCTGTGGAGGTACCACGCGATGAGCGACCGGATGGCTCCTCCCGAGAAGATACAGCTGGTCCGCGAGGGCTGCGACGTGTGCGACGAGGACGCCAAAGAACCTCTGAGGAACTTCATCAAGAGCATGAACATCAAGGCTAGCGACGTGCCCGCTCAATTCCCCGTCTGTGAGCTCCCCTTCATGGTCTGCATACGAGTAGATCGGCGAGGTGAGCGGGGACCCGAGCATCTCCTGACGGACTTGCCTGATCTTGTGGAGGGATACTTTGTGATCATCGACCCCGTGTACCAGACGCAGCTGAAGTTCCCCCCTGGTGGCTCACCATTGAACGATTCCTTATACGAGCTGAAAGGCCTCCTGGGCGTCGTCCTGATGAATGCGCCAATCGAAGGCACACTCTCCGAGAAGATCGGCAATCTCGAGGCCAGTTGCTCAGAACCATCAAGTGGGGAACGGAATTGTACGGGCGGTCTTCGCGTGCTCTATATCGACCGGTGTCCCCATATCAGTGGCCCCCTTCCCAACAACATAACGTCGCTGAAGCTCCTCCGCGGCATCTACATTGACGAGACCCCGATCAATGGCACCCTGCCGCCCTCCTTTCACGAGCTCTTCACCACGTCACTGGAGTCCCTCAGCCTGATAAAGACCAACCTCGATTTCACCATGCAGTCGCTCTTCAACCACGGCCCTACTGGGCCCGCTCCCTGCAGAACGTTGCGCGTCTTGAGGCTGGCAGGCGAGAACATCACGGGCCGCCTGACTGGGTCCTTCGATCACTGCCAGGAGCTTGAGGAAGTGGATATCAGGAACTCTGGCGTTGAGGGCCCGCTCCCTGCTCTCAAGCTGCAGAAGAACCTCACTGTCTTCCGACTTCAAGAGTGCAGAGACATCAGGGGGCCCATCCCTCCATTCTACGGCACCAACACGAAACTGGAAGAGTTTGAGATCGTCGGCTCACCGGTCAGGCAGACAGCAACAATCGATTCACTCGGGCGCCCCTGGTGCGTTCATTCCTTTTTGATCGTGCGTTGCTGTCTTCGTCAGAATATAACTGGCCCGATCCCCGACTCGTTCAACAATCTGAAGTCGCTGAGGGAACTCATCTTTCGCAGGACCAATCTATCCGAGCTGCCTGCCACTCTCGAGGCCCTGCAGAACCTGACCACGCTCGAGCTGGAGAGCAACAACTTCACAGGACTCATCCCCGCGTGGATCAGCAAGCTGGACGGTCTGCACACGCTGCGGCTGGGGCGGAACAACTTTACGGGCTGGGAAGGCGGGACATGGGAGATTCCACCTGCGTAAGTGTCTGAAGGAAGGAAGGCGACACCGATGGCTGGCTGAAATCGGCTTGTTTTGTGCATCATTTCAGGCTTGTGCATCTGGACGCATCCAACAACAAGCTGCCGCGGATCCCGCCCAATTGGCGGCGGATTAAGACAGGTACTACACACGCGGGCACGAGGGAGGGTGGGAAGGGGGGAGGGATGGGGAGTCGGTGTGGTTTTCATGTATGTGAATGTGTTTGCAGTGCGGCGGCTGTTCTTGAGTTGCAATCACATCAAGAGTATCGGCTCGGGATGGGGAATACACGACCCTGGACTTCACACTCGACTCACCAGTGAGGGAGACGAGTCAAGGCAGGACGCTGCCAGAGAGCAGGAGCGAGCCGGAGCGACCCGTCAACATGTCTGTCCGTCTGTCCGTCTGTCTGTCTGTCTGTTCAGGCCCAAGTCCGTCAGCCCGCATTGTTGCCCAGATCCTCAAGGTAGGTGCATTCACACCGCGCGCAAACTGCCATGAGACGTCCGCTGTGTACGTGTCTGTGCAGAACCCCCCGCCCTACTGGCCAACCATCCGGTATCTTTCGCTTCGCGGCAACCAGATCAACGTCACGGCTGATGAGTTCCTGATGCCTTGGAAATACAACGACTACATCCATGCCATCTTTGGCGAGAGCAACGGTCTGCACGGCGCCCTCACGCCTGACGGGGTGAACGCGATTGATATGGACGAGGTTCTGCGGACAGGGCTACTCGACACGCCACCATTCCGGCGGTTCAAGAAATCGTTCATGGCTGCCTATGGGCTGACGGAGAACGCCACGAATATGAGCATGGTGGATCCAAACCCGAGTGATGAGCCTGTGGTGGATGACTTCGACCCTGACGAACATGTGGTGGATGTGGAGACCCTTAACGACGTAGTCACTCTGGATGACGTCATGAAAAACCTCACTCTCAACACCAGCCTGGGCGTCAAGAAGGGCTTCGAACAGCTGCAGCTTCTAAACCTCAAGAACAATTCCATACAGGAGATCAGGGAGGGAGTGTAAGCAAAGCACGACACAAAGAGAGCTGTGGCGAGATGCGGCGTTGATACATCTCGCTATTCCTGGCTGGTTGTTTTTGCATAGGGATGTGATACCCACGTCCTTGGTGTTCCTGAACCTGGCCAATAACAGTCTGACTTCGATCGACATGACCGTTCAACCAATGCAGCGACGATGGGACGCACGCCACAACTGGATCAAGATGTATCGCGCCAACTTTACCCTCAACCCCGATCTTCGGATGGAAGAGGTGCGCTGCAGACAGAGTACAGGCACTGCTTAAAACCGGCGTGTATGTGTACACGTGTGTGTGTGTGTGAATGCTCAGATCCAGGAGCATGACAACAAGACTTGTGAGGAGCACGAACAGCTGTTCTTGGAGGCGGGCTGGGACGGCGAGGCTCATCTCACGGCCGACATTAACGGCTATCGCCCCTATGAGGAGAACAACATAACAGGCGTCGAGTGCACCAAAATATGCCCTTACCTGCAGCAGATCGACCTCGACGTGACGGTGAAGGAGGAAGTGCTGTGCCGCTGCCAGGACGGCTATGAGGGCAAGGGCCTCGACTGCACCGAATGCCCCCAAGGCCAAGTCACGATTCGGGAAAAGGGCTGGGTTGATTGCCAGGAGTGTCCTGAGGGATCTGGTGAGTGAGTGAGGGGGATACCGATGAATGAACGGACGCGGTCATCGAGATGCTTTCTGGTTTCGTTGTTGTCCTGTGTTGGTTACAGTTGCTACGAATAACGGGACGGCATGCGAATGTGCCACGGGCTGGGTTTACGATCTCAAGGACAAGAAATGTCGCGAATGCCCGGCCGGCACGTACAAGGACACCGAAGGCAACGACGCCAGCTGCAAGAAGTGCCCCAAACACTTCACCAGCCTAAGGGCTACTACGAAGGGGGAGGACTGCTTCTGCGACAAGGGATTCTACCTGTAAGACAAAAACAGCAACAAACACGTTGACCCTCACATCCCTTGTGCATGTCTCATTGTCCAGGAAACGTGCAGATAATCAGTGCCATCCATTGCCAAAAGGGGTCAGAGAAGAAGATGCTCCATGTGGGCCTGACTATGCCGACGACTCCACTCATGGCTACCACGCCGCCTTCATGGTGAACGAGGGGTACTTCGAGCTGGAGACTAAGGTCAACCTTACGGTGCCTCTTCTGCCGATCAAGGACGTCAAGTGCATCGGGGCAGTGGGTCCGTCTGCCACAGTGCGTGCGGTGCTGGAGGGCGGCAATCAGCCGCTCGAGCTCGGGCACCTGGCCATGGTGCGGGGGATAAACCTGTCCGCCATCTACGAGACAGCCGGCGAGCCCACAGCCCCGAATCGCTCACTAGAGCTGCTGCTGACAATCTCGACGTAGGCATGTGCACATGTCGGCCCACTCTTCGGCCACTCTGGGGTTGCTCTTGTGATTCGTTTGTTCAGGTATGACGCATACGTGACGTCAAGCCCCGTATTGGTGGAATGTCCGATCCCTGAAGCATGTGAGGGGTCCGTGCGGCACAACAACACGATGGTCGAAAAGCTGAACAAGTGCAAGGTGAGATAGGGAGGGAGAGGGACACACATGACGGCTCTGCACGCATCGTGTCGCCTCGTGTGTGTGTGTGCAGGAGGGACATGAGGGGCATCTCTGTGGGTCGTGCAAAAGGGGGTGGCGGAGTGTGGGAACGTCGTTAGGGCTGTGCCGGAAATGCAACAACAAGGCCTTGAACGTGCTGCTCTCCATCTTCCTCTACGTGCTTATCCTCGCCGTCATATTCGCGGCAACCGTGCTCTCGCAAAGGTCCGCTCTCTTGACCACAGCTCAATTGGCATCCGGGTGCACTTGTGGGTGTCGTGCTGATCTCTTTCTCTCTCAGGTCGTCCACTTTGCCTCGCGCGTCGGTCCACAGGTGCGTCATATAGACTGGCCAAGGCACATCATTCAAGTATGTCACATGCCCGTGTGTGTATGTCTCTCCATCTGTCCGGATCAGCATGCTGATCAAGATCGCACTGAATCATTTCACCGTCGTGAGCGCGCTGGCGCGCTTCGGTGTCCAAGGCGGCCACATGCTGCCCTCCGAAGCCGTTCAGGTCCTGCGAGAGTATTTCAGCTGGGACGGTATGAAAAGGCACCACACATCTACACGATGCATATGCAGCTTTCGCAATCTGCTGTTCTCTCGCTTTGTTGTGTATCTCATTCAGGTGGTGTGGTGACAGCAGACTTCACGTGAGCCGACACAGCCGATGAGCAGAACGTTTGTGTCCCATCAATGTGCTGTCTGCCTGACCCGCAGGTGGGAGTGTCTACTGAAGGAAGATCTTAACATGACTGGGGCGCAGGCCATGTTGATCAAGAGGGCCGCATGGATCGCCTTCCCGCTCCTCTGGCTGGCTGTGGCGACACTCTGCTGGGGCCTCTGGAAAGTCCTGCCATCGCTCTTCTCCAAGCCCTGGCGTGGTGGACCGACGACACCACAGGACGAGGCGCGCAGTCCCATGCGGAGAGATGACCCATCAGCGAGGGACACACGGGCAGAACCAGAGGGATTCCACAGTTGGCGGTGTGGGCTGTCGAGGCGGTCGAGCTCGACCAACAGCCTCGAGAGCGAAGTGCGGGGCGAACCAGAATGGTGGCGGCACTTCCTGTGCCCTCAGCTCTGGATTGTGTGCCTCACATTCATCCATCCAAGTAAGACGGGCACACAGACAGCAGACGAGACGAAGATGTCGCGTGGTATTGTTGTGTCCATACCTGTCGTCCTCAGCCGTGACGCGTCAGCTGCTGGAGATCCTCCCTTGCCGCACCTTCCCCACCATCCCCTGGTGGGAGCCCCCCGGCAAACTCCTCGAGAAGCCTTATCCAACCGTCCGCCTCTCACTGCTCGACACCTCAATCGAGTGCTACAAGCGCGAACATCTCGTTTACACCATCGTCGCCGTCGTGGGGCTGTGCGTGTGGTCCTTCGGCCCGGTCATCGCGGCACTGAGCATTCTGTGCTCGTACAAGCAGTCGGGGCGGCTCTACAAACGGCAAACGAGGCGGATGTTCGGCTTCTTGTACAACGGCTACCGTCGGTCCTACTACTTCTATGATGCTGTTTTCGCCCTGAGACGCATTGCAACTCTGGTCATAGCTCAGGTGGGTGCGGGGGATGTGGCCAGCAGAGAGACGTGGGGGGGTTGTCGGTCACTTCCTGTATGTCTCGGTCCGTATCTCCGTTTGTGTGTCTGCAGGTTGGTGCGTCTCTGGGTAATGGGATGATCCAGCTGGTGTGTTGGCAGCTGATCGCGGGCCTGTCACTCTTCCTGCAGCTCAAAATCAAGCCTTTCGACTCGAGAACGTTCGACCTGCTCAATCGCATGGAGGCGCAAGGTACGAATGGCAGTGGGGTGCGTGCATCTGTCTCATCTGTCTGTTTGTTCATTCATCGATTCGTTCAGGGTTGCTGATTTGGAACATCTCTCTGTGGTGTCTGATGCTGCTGTCGAGCACATCGGGTCACCCGCTGGTTGAGGACGACCCCGGCTTCCAGAAAGGGCTGGGCTATGCCGTGACGGCGCTTATCGTCATTATGAACTCGTTCCACATCATCACCCTCATCTTCCACACCATTCACCACTCCCTCGAGGTCCTCATGACGTCCATTCTGCTGATGAAGAGCAACACCGACAGTGCCCTGGGCCCCCTTCGCAAGATGGCCTTCGGCATCGCAGCGTCGACCGACAGGAGGAGAGCCAAGCTGCCACTGGTGCGTCTCAGCACGGAGCGCGGAGAGCTCACCCTGATTATGAGAACCAAGGAACCGTCTGGCCCCCCGTCCAACGGCCGGATGCGGACACTTACAACCGACTCTTGGGCGCTGCGTGCGGCATCACTGCCCCTGCCCGCCACCATCAGCAGCGCCCCGCCACGGATCTACCGCCCGCGGGCGAGCACAGACAGCACACAGGCGGTGCAAGAGACGCGCTCAGAGAGGGACGATGACGAGTCGGTGCCTTGCTCGCCCGTCACCGCTCAGAAGGTCCCCCAACGAGAGCATACGGCCATGTTGCGGCAATGCTGGACGACTGTCCCATCCGCCGACCAGTCGACGGCATCCTCATCTCGCCGTGCAGCGACAATTCACGGCCCTACACACATGCCCGTTCAATCCCCTACACCACGCAAGGCCTCGCGGGGCGACCAAGGGTGGCCAGAAGACCCGCAAGCCGACGACAAAGGGACTGACCCAGCCGACTCCGGAAGAGCCAGCACACCTGAGAGCGGCCCATCGAGCCAGTCACGAGGTGCTCAGGCCAGCCAGGCGAGCCAGTCGAGGGCAACCGAGGGCGCCAGCCCGTCATCCGACGCGACGTCAGGGCAACGTGCGCGGACGTTCTGGAGGCGCGTGACGGCGACGCTGTCCCTCTCTCTGACAGCGCGGTTAGAGAGCGACCAGCGGAAGATGTGCTGTTCTGAGATCATGACGCTGACGAGTGAGGCGATGCAGGAGATCATCGAGCAGCTGGGCATGCAGAACATCCCCACCGACGTGGTCGAGTTCCTGTGGCGGTCCACCTTCGAGGTCTACAAGGCGCGGAAGAGGTCAATACACGACCCTACCACTGGCGTCGCACGGACGGTCCTGCTGCCGTCATTAGAGCTCAAGGTACGCTCACACGCCACCATTGAGACGGAGAGACATCTCGTCATCGCATCTCTGATATGCGTTTTTGTCAGGGAGGCACATCATCTCCAGTGCGGAGGGGCGGTTCTTTCCATCACAGCTCAACGTCGTCGATCGACATCTTGAGCAGCGGCGAGGACGACACCGCGGGTTTCGACGACAGCCAGGAGGTGCCCTTGACGGACTTCCAGTCCAGCATGGCCTTCGTGGTGGACCGCCTGATCAATGCCGGCAGTGGGTGGCGGGATATGTACAGGGTATTCCGCGACAAGAAGGACCGGGCGAGCCGAAAGGGGCTCTAGCCCGCCTCTTCGCATGCAATGCGTGGCTGCATGTGTCCATGTCTTGCTGTGTGTATACGAGTGAGTGTGTTCGTGTGATGGATCTCTGTGTTGCACGCCTGTGGTGTAGCGTATCGCTTGCATGTTTGTGTGTACGTGTGTGTGTGTGTGTGTGTAAGTATTGCGTGGTGCTTTATCGGTCTCATCGTTCATCACTGTGTTCATGTCCATTGATCGACAATCGAGCCATCCCCGGTGCCTGCCTGTCTGTCTTTCCGTGTCACTTTTTCTGTCACACTACTCGTGCCGGCCGTCTGTAGGTACCGATCAATTGCATGTTCCATGCGGTTGTTGTCGGCCGTCACCTGTAGCGTGGGGTCTATCTGTCTTTCTGTCTGTCGACCGACAAGAGAGGACACTCCTGCCCGCCCGCAGGCACCGAGGCACTTTTTGCGGTTGTGTGTGTGTACTTGTACATGTACGTGTACATAACCCCCCTACCCTACATCCATACATACGTAAGAGAGAGCCTTAATACATACATGGGTGCCATTATGTATTGTGCTGTCTGTCCCATACATAATACATACGTACATGAGTATCATGTATATGCAATGCATACCATACCATACCATGATCGTTCCCTTCACGTGTACACCAAGGCGGTCGCGAAGGGAAGGATCTGTAATTTTGCCCCTGTCCACCGTACCATGCACCATACAATACACCTGTCTGTTTATCCATCCATCCATCCATCCCTTCATCAACCTACCTATAATTACATGTCAGTCAGCATGATGCCTGCACATGCCATCCATCCATGTGCGTGTCTTATGCAACACAAAGGGGAGCGAGGGTTTTTCGCTGTGCTATCGCACACGTGCCCCTTGGAGGGTGGGTGATGGGATGTTGGTACATTGACTGTCATGGGAGGTAATTCGTTGGGCTTCCTTCACACCTACACACGCAGTAAGCAAGTAGTGTGGTGGCGTCAATCGGATGCCTTTTCTTAACGTTCTTGCCTGCCTGAGCATGTGACCGACCGACTGACTGACTGACTGACTGATCGGCTGACTGGCTGACTGATGGCTTCCCTGCCTGCCTGCCTGCTGCATCTTTGTCACTCACTGCAATGTTGCTGTGCTGCTGATGCTGTATGAGCCACGTGGTTCTTCTCCTCTTCCTACCTACCTGCCTGCCTGTGTGACTGAGCGACTGCCTCTTGCTGGTGTGTGCATGTTTTTTGTGCCTTGTTATATATGGCGTACAAGTCACGGACGACCGAGGCCGACCGGCCGTATGCATCGTGATGATGGTGTGGTGTGCACTGATTTCATTTCATTCATTTCATGGATGGACGGATGGACACCTCCTGAAGTGAATGTACGTCCTGTCTGCTCAATGACGCCCTCAATGTTCACATTGACCGCATCCCCAACCCACCCATGACGCGACAAGTCATCCTACACATGCTACACGCTCACGCGACGCTGAGGCAATACCACCCATCAACCAACCAACATCTTTGAATCCCCCCTCGAGCTACTCGACCAGACAACCATGGATGGAGGCATCCACCGACGAATTAGCGGAGGGAGCGCTGACCCTTCAGGGCGGCGATCTCCGTTGTCTGCGTGCGGACGGTCTCGGTCAGCGCTTCGATGGCCTCGGCCTGGTTGTCGCTGCGCGTCTGCAGCTGCTGGGCCACTATGATTGTCTGCCACGTACACACAAGCGAACACACAACACACAGCAAAGGAGGGATACGGTTACACACATACATGTGAAGCCTCGATTGACACGTGTGTGCTATTCACCTTGTAGAGGAGAGCGTATTGGTTCACATGGATGCTCTCCTCGGGCTCTGGGGTGCCCACGAGGTGTGCTCGATTAGTCATCACCGCGTCAGGGAAGATCGCCTGTGTGGATGGGATGGCCAAAACACAGACACATCAACGGACAGAGCCGAGTGAAGAGTACCGGTGGTCTCGGGCTGCCCCATCGCACCCACCTTAAGCTCCTCGCCAATGCCGCCCGTGATTGGGGTCTCCGCCCCCCCCTGAAGCCCACGTCCGGCCACCTTACGCTGTCAGTGTGACAGCACACACCGAGGGAGATCATTCCATCCCACCCACCCCCTCCATCGCTGCCTTGGCCTGCTCGCCATGCATGCCGTCGGTACCTCCGTACCTTGTATGTGTGCATCTTGATGAACCTGAATCGCTCATAGGTGTTGCTCAGCTCCTGCTCGGGCATGATGTCCACTTGGGACAGACTGCTGCGGGTGACCATGCCGTCCCGGTCGAAGACTCTGTCGGTGAAGACTCTTTCCACCACCATGCCCGTTTCGCAGCCAACCGACCCTGCACAGACAGACAGACACACCGACACACCGACACACCGACACACCGACACACCGACACCCAGACACAAAGACACAAAGACACAAAGACACAAAGACACAAAGACATTAGAGCTCGTGGTGTCGAGCTCATATCCGCCTGCGGCATGCAAAGACCTACCGTATTAACGCGTAGCCCTTCCGTTGGTCTCATCTGCCGCCACAAGCCCTGTCTGGCAATCTGGCACTGTAAGCGAAACATACACACAGACACACAGACAATCAGACAGACACGTGGTCAAATGCCCATCCTCATCCCAGCTACCGCGTCAAGCGCAATTTCCTGAACAAGACACCGCAAGCCACGTCAATATGTCAGGATGGGCGTATTGGTTGTTTGGCGCCTGCCTGCCCTTACCGTCGGCTTGTCGTCCCTTAGGAGCGGTTCATCGATTCCATCGGGTGGCCTGCAGGCCATCCACATCCTCCCCCCGCCGGCCGCCGGCGGTGGATACGCTGATGCTGGCGTTGCTGCCACTGCTGCCAGGGCAACAAGGAAGAGGCTGAGCAAGCGACCCATGATACGCACACAGCACACAGATCGAAAGGCGCGGCGATGGCGTACGCGATGCCGGATTTACGGTACGGCAAAGTTCCCGAGCTTGGATCGCGCAGTGTGATTTCGTTACGGCTGAATCGTTAACGCCAGGTACTCACGAGATTCCGTAACCAGAGCATCCCGTGATCCAGAGCCACTTCACCCCTGTCACTCTCCGCCGAACCGCAGGTCTGTGTGCTGTGTGTGCATCATGACTCGTCTGCTCGTCGTGTTCGCTGCCCTGGCAGCAGCAATGCCAGCATCAGCGAAGATGTGGATGGCCTGCAATCCAATGAATCAAATTGATCAACAGCTCCTGATGGACTCTACGCCGACGGTAAGGGTCAGGCAGGCGGCCAAACAAAGAATACGCCCAACCAACCCAGGACGTGGTTTGCGGTGTCTTGTTCAGGAAATGTTGAGTCACGCGGTAGCTGGGATGCGGATGGCCATTTGGACCACGTGTCTGTCTGATTTGTGTCTGTCTGTGTGTATGTTTCGCTTGCAGTGTGACCTTAGTAGTAGTACGGGAAGAAACAGACCTGAACCAGTGTTGGTGGCTGCAAATGAGGACAACGGAGAGGTTCAGAATGGATCCGGTAGGTCTCTGCACGCCGTAGTGGATGCAGGCGGATATGAGCTGACACCACGAGCTCTAATGTCTTTTTGCCTTGCACGTCTTCTGTGTCGTGTGTGTCGGCGCAGGGGCGATGGGCTGCGGACAGAATAGCATGCTGGCCAGCGTCGCGGCCGAGGAGATCCTCGACGGGAACAGCAGGGTCGGCCGCAGCAGTCTGTCCCAAGTGGACATTATGCCCGAGCAGGAGCTGAGCAACACCTATGAGCGGTTCAGGTTCATCAAGATGCACACATACAAGGTACGGAGGTACCGACGGCATGCATGGCGAGCAAGCCAAGGCAGCGATGGAGGGGGTGGGTGGGTGGAATGGTGTCTCCCTTTGTGTGCTGTCACACTGACAGCGTAAGGTGGCCGGACGTGGGCTTCAGGCGGAGGCGGAGGCGGAGACCCCAATCACTGGCGTGATTGGCGAGGAGCTTAAGGTGGGTGCGATGGGGCAGCCCGAGACCACCGTTACTCTTCACTCGGCTCTGTCCGTTGATATGTCTGTGTTTTGGCCATCCCATCCACACAGGCGATCTTCCCTGACGCGGTGATGACTAATCGAGCACACCTCGTGGGCACCCCGGAGCCCGAAGAGAGCATCCATGTGAACCAATACGCTCTCCTCTACAAGGTGAATAGCACACACGTGTCAATCGAGGCTTCACATGTATGTGTGTATCCGCGTCCCTCCTTTGCTGTGTGTTGTGTGTTCGCTTGTGTGTACGTGGCAGACAATTATAGTGGCCCAGCAGCTACAGACGCGCAGCGACAACCAGGCCGAAGCCATCGAAGCGCTGGCCAAGACCGTCCGCATGCAGGCGACGGAGATCGCGGACCTCAAAGCCCAGCGCTCCCTCCGCTGAGTAGCCGACAGGTGCACGTAGAGGTGCATGCTTGTCTTATGCTGAGTTGAGTTGAGTGCGGGTTGGGTGCATCAATTCACAATTCATGAGCTTGTTTGTGCACGCGGGAGTGAGTGATCCATGGGCGAATGTTCGTGTGCTGTGTGGTGGTGTGCGCTTAGAACTGCATGGTCGGGTGGGCAAGGGCTTTCCCGACGGACATGCGGAGCATGTATGGCGTCCACACACAAATGCGTTGGTTGCATGGTGAGTGGGATATGTGCATCAAGGGTAGTGGTTGGTTGGCAGACTGGTGGCTGGCTGGTTTGCCGGTTGCATAGCTGACTGGGATGCAGACGGGACGAAGAGAGACGGGAGAGAGGTAGTTCGCTTCGCATGCATGGCTGTTGCATACTTTCTTTCTTTGTCTGGCTGATTGAGCCATCCATTCATCCACTCACACACGGCATTTGTTTTTGGCCGGACGTGTGAACGGCTTTCCGCATCGTTCGTGAATGGTATTTGTCTGCTGCATGACGTCCGGATGACACACCCGGGGGGGTGGGATGGGCGAGAGGAAGAGGATCGAGTACATGGCATGTGTGGGCATTGGTGGGTGTCGCGTGTGGGTGTCGGTCGACTGGCTGGGCAGTCAGCGAGGCTCCTAAACAGGGAGTGGCTGACGTACCCGCAGGCCGGCAGACACACACACGCACACAGAGACGAACAGATGGATGGATGGCAGGTGCGAGAGGGACGCACGTGACGATGGGTCGGATAACCGGGTCACCTCCCAAAGAGACCCGAAACAGACATTTTGATTGTCATGTTCTGAGATGAACCATTCGGATTTGCACGGCGAGTTTCTTGGCATGCTGGGCCACAATGTAAACGGAAGAGCGGCACGAAAACCCATTTGTGACAAACAAGAGGGTGGTCAACGTGAGGCATCTTGCGGCATTCATCCAGCCGAACACACGTTTGTGCAGCCCTGATGTGTTCGGCCTTCTTTCCTCCTCAGTCATTCCATGCATCACAACACGCCCACCCATCCATCCATCCAGGCAGCCAGCCAGCCAGCCAGCCACCGCACAAGCAATTTGATGACCATTTCGTGTGATGCATGCTGCAGGCGGCGGGGCGGCATGATTTATGTGATTTGCTTCCTGTTACATGTAAGCTTGCTGTTCGTGCCTATTCATGCTTTTTGTGGCGTCGTGGCCAAATGATGCACAGCTGACGACCAATCTTCATGCAAAATAGCTCAGGCTGAATCAGTAGCTGGTGGAGGGTGAACCAGACACTCAGGAGACACCCAACAGGGCTAAACAGCCTCGCCTGCAGCCACTCGCACCCATATGAGTGAGTGAATGAATGGTTGTTTTCGTCGCTTCAGAGTCGTTTTGAGCGGGCCCCGCAGAGTCAATGTGATGGAGGGTGGCTCGGGTGAGTCATTCACACCGACAAACCCCGCAGAAATCAGGCAGAAGATAAAGCAATCACTCGCTTGTGCGTATAAACCAATCAAACGTCAACGCAATCACCCCCGTATACGTATACGTTATTGCGTCAACGTACTGATTGCTTTAGGCGATACCATAAAATGCTCACATGTGCGCCCATGACAGGCCCGATGTGAGTGAAGAGAATATCCGTCACTGAGCCACATACACAGAGGTCATGAGTCCCACACCATATCAGACCATAGTGCATGCAGCGGTACACTGTACACGTAAACATAAGCGCGACGGCTGCGAGCTGGGCCGCGTTTTCTAGGTGAAGTTAACTGTGTTGTTAACGGATGAAAGTTAACGAACTGTACGCTGTAAGCCCCAGACAAACAAACCGAAGCACTCCTTCCTTCCATTCCCTTGCTGTACCCTCTCTTCCTTTCCTTCCCTTTCCCCCGAAAATTCGTACCGCTTCTCCTCCCATCTGCGACTCTCGCACGAGCGCCTCCTCCCTCTGCCGTCCCCCAGCCCATCAGCCATGAAGACCTTGTGGCTCCTCGCTCTGGGCATGCTTGCCTTGGCTGCCGCGCAGGAAGCCAACGGCCTGACGTCTGCGGATGACGCTCAAGAGGCTGACGCTGAGGGTGGCCTGCGTGGGCTGACATACTACACCACTGAGCATCATGAGAGTGACGCCACGAGCGAGGGGCGGAAATGTAAGTACAACCACCATTGCTACTGCAAGAAAGATGACGACGACGAACACGGCAAATGTAAGCACTGACCACAGACACA